TGTACACCTTTTCAAATTATAAATTGATAATGCAAAATGGATTAATATTTACATTTAAGGTGGCATATAATCACTTGTAAGCATAAAATCAAAAAGTTTGCTGTTAAATGAATAGGACCTTTTTGTAATTTTCAGATCAAGTGGTAGCTGGTTCCATAAATGAGCAGCAAAATATGCTAAGCTTGTTTTAAATAAATCTATTCTAGGTTTTGGTAAATGTAATGAATTTAGCATCTTGCTGTTCGTAGGATTAGATTTAATGAACTGGAAAAGGTAGTTTGGAGTATTTTGAGATACAATTTTGTGAATAAATTTAGCTTTCTTGAAAATCAAACTGTTACTCAGCGGCAGAAGTCTTAGATGGCTATAGAGATAATTTTTGTCGGTAAATTTTTTTATCTGAAACCATGCGTAAAGCACGATTTTGAAAGGAACTTGGTCTTTTAACAATAGATTTAGCACAACCATCCCACACAGTGGAGCAATGGTCGACATGTGTCTGGATGTAGGAAGAGTATAGATCGATAGGTAGGTATGTAGGTAGTTAGGTATGTAGGTAGGTATGTAGACAGACAGACAGACAGACAGACAGACAGACAGACAGACAGACAGACAGACAGACAGACAGACAGACAGACAGACAGACAGACAGACAGACAGACAGACAGACAGACAGACAGACAGACAGACAGACAGACAGACAGACAGACAGACAGACAGACAGACAGACAGACAGACAGACAGACAGACAGACAGACAGACAGACAGACAGACAGACAGACAGACAGACAGACAGACAGACAGACAGACAGACAGAGAGAGAGAGAGAGAGAGAGAGAGAGAGAGAGAGAGAGAGAGAGATAGATAGATAGATAGATAGATAGATAGATAGATAGACAGACAGACAGACAGACAGACAGACAGACAGACAGACAGACAGACAGACAGACAGACAGACAGACAGACAGACAGACAGACAGACAGACAGACAGACAGACAGACAGAGAGACAGACAGACAGAGAGACAGACAGACAGACAGACAGACAGACAGACAGACAGACAGACAGACAGACAGACAGACAGACAGACAGACAGACAGACAGACAGACAGACAGACAGACAGATAGATAGATAGATAGATAGATAGATAGATAGATAGATAGATAGATAGATAGATAGATAGATAGATAGATAGATAGATAGATAGATAGATAGATAGATAGATAGATAGATAGATAGATAGATAGATAGATAGATAGATAGATAGATAGATAGATAGATAGATAGATAGATAGATAGATAGATAGATAGATAGATAGATAGATAGATAGATAGATAGATAGATAGATAGATAGATAGATAGATAGATAGATAGATAGATAGATAGATAGATAGATAGATAGATAGATAGATAGATAGATAGATAGATAGATAGATAGATAGATAGATAGATAGATAGATAGATAGATAGATAGATAGATAGATAGATAGATAGATAGATAGATAGATAGATAGATAGATAGATAGATAGATAGATAGATAGATAGATAGATAGATAGATAGATAGATAGATAGATAGATAGATAGATAGATAGATAGATAGATAGATAGATAGATAGATAGATAGATAGATAGATAGATAGATAGATAGATAGATAGATAGATAGATAGATAGATAGATTAGATAGATAGATAGATTCTATTCTATATAAAAATTAAACTATTGTAAAATTTTCAAATACATCTGGCCTTGCAACAACGCTTTCTTTGCATTTAATTGATTTTGTACATAGCAACATTGTTTGCTTATACAGGCGTGGAAAGAACTGGAGAGCTAAATAGGTGACATGATTTATTTGGTCACATAGGAAAATTTGACTGTGTCAGTTTTATGATTACTCAGTAGCTAGTTACTGCTATTACTGATCAATATTGCCGAAACTGTACAAAGAACTGCTAAGTCACTGAGACCTAATACCATTGAAGTGACTCTGCGATTGAGTTATGAGTTGTGAGTTAGATTATCTTCACAGCACTCTGGACACATCCATAGGCACTCAGATTCCCCTCTCAACATATTCATCAGCGTCGCTTGGTTAATAGTGCCAGTCCTATGTTGGTTAACAAGACTTTGTGTGCGTCCGGTGTGCTTCTCATGCTTGGCTGTGCCGATCTTGACTCCAAATTATCGTATTCGTAGCAGTGATGTGGACACGTTGCTTCCAAAATCCTCAGAACGTATTATCTCTCTAAGGGCAATGACAATGTCTGCGTGATCCATGGCCCGGCCATCTACAATTAATGCAGCACCTGCCAGACTATCAGCTCTTTCATTACCAACAACGCCTACATTCCTGGAACGAATATGAAGGGGTAACTGAACACACATGAGAGTTTTTCAATGACTCAAACCACTGTCTGCGTAACCAGCCTGCCCCGACCCGCCGGATCATGCTCAAACAATCACTCGGCACACACAAGCGGGAATAGTCCTGTGATTCTATTCTCATGAAAGCTTGTGTCACCGCCATCACCTCCATCGTCATGCTGCTGGTAGTCATGGAGAAGGCATCGCTGGCTTCTTGAACTGTTCTGCCTGAAGAGCAAGCTGTAAATGCTGACAAACGGGCTTCTGCTCCCGACAACTATCGAGTGTCACGACACAGGAGAATGTGATATTGGGCGCTTTAGACGCTGGTATCCATCTGTAAGGCTGCAAACCTGCTTGATGTCATCCTTTGCCCTATCCAGCCATGATTTGATCCTTTTAAACATATTGCCCTTTTTCTTGAAGAGCATGTGGTGCAAAGGGTGCTTCAGATTTGAGCTTATCTTGAGGTATGCACTAGCCCTTCTTATTTTGATCCTGTAATTCATGGTAGGGAAGTCAAGAAGGTACCTCATTGCTACACAAGAGATCTCTCCATTGCACCCCCGAATAAAGCCGATTTTCTTCGTTTTGCACCTTCTCAAGTCTTTCAATCTGAGTTTGGCTCACAGTGAGAATGGCTAGAGCATATTCGATAGGAGAAAGAACAAGTCCCTGGAACAGAAGCAGAAGCATTCTCTGCTCAGTGTTAGCGGCGGTCATGACCCTCATTGCTGACAGGCCTTTGCCTGCTTTTGTTTGAAGGACAGGCTTGCTTACCAAGACAATGCGATGTCTTGAATCGGTTTCGTTGTAATATCTCTTATTTTCTACTATTAAGCACCGACTGTCAATGGCTTCTTATCATCGAAAATAATGCGATCAGTTATCAGTGTCGAAATTTTTTCTTTCCGATTAAAGTTACCTCCTTAATTGTCGCTTGTTACTTAATTTTTGTTCCTGTTTATGGCGGTGTCAAAAGAGCCCCTTTTGTACTGTCCAATTCCATTGGGCCTTCATTATCATCGTTTGCGTCAACATTGAAAGCATCGTTTATTTTGTGGTTGTTTCCGACGAAGTGGCGGATTTCAGAGATGTAAGAGTCGTCCTGTTCGTCGAGGTCTGCAGTTGGAGATTCGGAGACTTGTGGGCCTTCTTGCTCATGTTTCTTCAAGTGCCTGTCCAGATTTGTTTGTTGCCCAAAGCAACGATCACATATCTGACACCTGAATTCCATTGGGCCTTCATTATCATCGTTTGCGTCAACATTGCAAGCATCGTTTATTTTATGGTTGTTTCCGACGAAGTGGCGGATTTCAGAGATGTAAGAGTCGTCCTGTTCGTCGAGGTCTGCAGTTGGAGATTCGGAGACTTGTGGGCCTTCTTGCTCATGTTTCTTCAAGTGCCTGTCCAGATTTGTTTGTTGCCCAAAGCAACGATCACATATCTGACACCTGAATGGCTTCTCTTTGTTATGTATGTTTCTGACATGTCGCTGCAAATTTGAGGAAATGCTGAACGATCGCTCACAGTACCTACATTTATAGGGCTGCTCTCCTGTGTGCGTGCGAAGGTGACGAGTCAAATTTGCGGATCTAGGAAACAGTTTACCGCAGTATGTGCAAGCATATCGTTCCTTACATTTACCGGGTAGTCGCTGATCATGACAACTGCTACGAAGTGTGTCGTGACCATGCTTCTGTCTAGAGTTATCAGGATCCGACTGCAGCTCTAACAATGAAGATCTGACAGAAAGTTCTGGACGAGATAATACATTGAAATGTGGACGGAGCCCTGATGGGTGTGTGGGGCTGGAGGTATTAAAGCAGGAATACATAGCTATAGCTTCATGTTGTAGCTTTATACTCTCTTTTAATCTAAAGATGGACTCCACCAGAAACGGACTGAAAGAGTAAGGAAAGGGACTTATGGTGCTGGATTTTAGACCTAAAAGAGGAACACATGTTGAGGTCACCGGCGATTCGGAAGCCACAGGGGTGACCGATGCTATTGGCGTGACACAAGATGATGATAGTGAATATGATGCTGCCGGAAATTTTGCAATTTGCTGTTTAATGTGAGTATATCCTGTAGAGCCGTTTGCCGACAATGTAAGAGATTTTACAGGTTTTTGACTGAGATCCAGGGGCATTTCTTCCCGCTGAGCAACTGGAAACTTAGTCTCGTCTCCAATGTATGATTTGTAAACGTCTTTGGAATTTGAAGATGATGAACTCAGTTCTATTCTTTGAGGACTACTTGAGAGGTCAGTAGATGCTTTGCGTTTGAAATAAGCTGTTGACTGAACAGGAAAGCACTTTGTATTTTCGGTAGCATTTGACATATTTCTGTGGTGAACAAAAAATGGGGAGGCGACGTTGATCTCGCTGGCTGAATTATTATAAGGCGTTAATAAAGATTCCCGTACTGGTGAAGAAGGATGTAATGTGTCAACTCTGACTATAGTTTCCAATGCTTGTTTATGACATTTTGTTAGCGTGCATTCATCATCTGACACGCCTTCCGTGTCCACATTATTACTGTCAGTGGTATCCGTTGATGCATCGCCGGATATCTCTGAAGACCTACTAGATTCAGTGTTTAGAACAGAAGATCTCATCAAAAAACGACCTCTATGTGCTCTTTTATCAGTTTTCACAGACGAATGTTGTCCGTGAGAGGCTGAGAAGAAATCTGGAGAACGAGACAGAGCAGAACCGCTCACTATTGCTGGCAATTCACGGGGCATATGAAAGGGAATAGTGTTGAAATGAGAGTGGACGGAGAAAGGTAATTGATAGGGGGCAGGATCTGTGTAGGTATAGGAGAACAATGGGGAAGGGAGATGACCTGACCCGTCAGCACCAGACACCGTAGACATGGTGTCCCAAGAGTAGTCAACATCTTTTCGTCCGCCCAAGGAGCCCTCGCAGAACCTTTTGTGTTTACTGAGTGACGTCAGGGTTGAGAAGGCTTGTCCACAATCCTTACATATAATTTGCTGCCTGCAGTCGGCATGCATGCGTTTGTGTCTGCACAGGTTAGAGAACTGTGTGTAAGCTTTGAGGCATACCTGGGGAACAACAAGACTTGATTACATGCAGAATCATAAATAATGTTTCTAGTCTTGAACGTTTCTCTCTCTCTCTCTCTCTCTCTATATATATATATTATATATATATATATATATAATATATATATATATATATATATATATATGTGTGTGTGTGTGTGTGTGTGTGTGTGTGTGTGTGTATGTGTGTGTGTACTAAAGCGGGGTGTACGAGTGGTACTAGAGTGGCGTGTACGAGCATTACTAGAACGGTGTGTACGAATTGTACTACAGCTGCGTGTACCAGTGGTACTAGAGCGGTGTGTAAGAGTAATTCATTAGAATGGTGGGTAAAAGTGGTACTGGAGTCGCATGTTAGAGGAGAAATAAAGCAGCGTTTACGAGTGGTACTAGTGTGGCTGTGTAAGAGTGGTACTAGAGTGGCGTGTAAGATTGGTATTAGAGGGATGTGTGAGTTGTATTTGAGTGCTTTGTAAGAGTGGTATTAAACAGGGTGTAAGAGTCGGCTGAGCGGTGTGTGTGAATGTTTTAGAAATTAACTTATGTTCAGAAGCATATTAGGATATAGCCAGTTGATTATTCAATGCAGTACAAACAGATTGTCTGGAATAAGGCTTAGATTGGTATTGCTTTCTCATAGTGTTTCCAGTATTTCAGTTTCAATAGACTTCATTGTACGCCACGGTCATTAGGGCCTATATGTTCTATCAATGTACAGGATACAAAAGTTGAAATAGGCGTAGCTTGTCAGTTGCCATGATGCCACCAGACCAGTCGCTGAAATGAATTTGTTGGAGTTCAATGCATGACATCATTCTTCCATAAAACACAATTCTTCGAGAACAACCTTCTCCAGACGCTAACGTTTCCCGTACAGAAATCTTGTACGTGAAACTCGTCCCAACAAGAAAATCTTTCCTTCCGAAACAACGTCTGATTCAGACCTGTTTCCCAGAGCTCGAGATTTCACCCTAGTCCGCTTCTGATGATCAGTTATACTTGAACCATTTAGATATATGTATTTCATAATATTGACCTTGATATCAAAGTGTACATATGTGTGGTAGAAACCCTCCTATATCACATTTAAAAGGACCGATATCTCCGACTATTCACTTTATAAGCTTAATGTATCCCAGCATAAACTACTCTAGTCTATATCCTTGATAAGTTTATAAGTGCACTCAAAGGGGGACAATGTTATAGTTTTCCAGCGTACTCCACACCCCATTGAATGATGTGTCAAACCCATTCTCAAAAAGAATTTGTGGCTGTCGGTACGTATCAGTCTGGTTGCCGGGCTATGTTTGCAAAAAGTAGTCTATTTCTTTTCGTCCCATACATTTCTCTTTGACTTTATTTGCCAGTCTTGAGCGTTGCTTATTATTTACTATAGAGTCATCAGTATTGCGCAGGACCGTTAGTACCAGAAGCAGAACTGGAAGATGTTATAAACCACATGAAAGAAGTTGAATCTGCAGGGCTAGATAATATCGCCATTGAAGAATTAGAAGCTGCTGCTGGTGAAATGGGTTTAGAAGTTTTAGTATTGACAACATTGTTTCATGATATTTATAACAGTGGACATGTACCTGATGACCTTTTGAAATATTGTTTCATACCTTTACCCAAAACACCTGGTGCCGTGGAATTGTGGAGAACATCGAACAATAAGTTAAATGAGTCATGTAACTAAACTATTAATGACAATTATCATGAGGAGAAAGCGGTGCAAAATTAAACCCGAAATTAGAGAACAGCAGTGAGGTTTTGTTGAAGGTAAAGGAACAAACAACGCCATATTTATCTTGAGAACACTTTCAGAAAAAAATGATTAATATCATCAGAGATCTGTATTTGTACTTTATTGATTACAGTAAAGCATTTGATAAATTAAAGGACTAAAAAAATTATTAGCATTTTTGAAACTTTAAACATTGATGGTAAACATCTAAGAATAATAAAAAGCATTTTTTGGCAACAAGAAGCAGCCATATGGATTATCAAACAATTTGGAACTTTTCAAAACATTGAACAAGGCGTCAGACAGGGATGTGTACAAGGCGTCAGACAGGGGTGTGTACAAGGCGTCAGACAGGGATGCGTACAAGGCGTCAGACAGGGATGTGTACAAGGCGTCAGCCAGGGATGTGTACTATCACCCAATTTATTCAATTTATACATTGAAATAATAATTAGATGCATACATGGTATTCCAGGAATATCAAATGGTGGGCATATTGTTAACAACCTACGATATGCTGACGATACAGTTTTGGTAGCTGAAAATGAAACACAACTGCAAGAAATGATGGATATAATTGTAACAGAAAGTGAAAACAAGGGCCTTAGTTTGGAGATCAGAAAAACAGAAGCAATGATAATTACAAAGAAAACTGACCCTCCAAAATGCAACATCAAAGTAACTGGGACAAACCTCAAACAAGTTGATATGTTCAAGTACTTGGGTACCCTGATAACATCTGATTGAAGATGAATTAAGGAAGTTAAATGTCGAATAGCTCAAGCAAATGCAGCATTTTACAAAATGAAGAATATTTTGTAGTCTTTCTTTGTCAATTGAGACGAGAAAGAAAATGCTTACGAGCTATATAAATCTTTTATTGATATACGGAAGTGAATCATGGACAGTTGGTAAATTAGTGAAAGCTTATTTGGAAGCTGCGGGAATGTGGTTTGATAGACGAATTATGAGAGTACCCAGGACAGATTTTAAAAAAGTAACAAAGACGTCTTGAAAGAAACTGACTCACGAAGAGAACTAACTGCTGTCCACATGAGAAAGAGACAATACAAATTCGGTGATCATGTGATGAAAAGAAGAAAACAAGTACATCGTGAGGGTAGGAAAGTTGGAGGGGAGGAGACCCAGAGAAAATCAGGCATGGAGGATTACCTGTATCAGAGTTGATTGAAAGTACGCGAGACAGAAGGTTGTGGATAGACATGACTACCAACGCCACACGGAATAGACTTTGGTTTTAAAAAAAACGGACATGATGTTCGCTGTGATGGAGCCTGTCAAATATGAAAAATGACAATCATGTTACTCGGCCGGACGACATGACAGTGGCATCAAAACTCACATTTTGGTGGTGCACCTGCAACATCCACGTTGCAAAAACTGGAATTTTGTCAACCGTCAACAATGTCAGGTTACCATCAACGCAGGCAAAATATCCAAAACGTTTTTCTTTTTGTCTGGCGAGATAAAGCTGCTGCTATTCTTCGATTTTTCCGTATTAGTCTAGCTACTTACATAACACCTATGTGATTTTTACTGATCATGTATGTTGAAAACATTTAGTTTCCATTAAAATAGTAGCTGATTATGACTACTAAATTAGATAACTGGTGCAATTAGTGCCCATAAAGTTGTAGAACCGAGTCCTCCTTGAGAAGATTGTCCCACATACCGTTTTCGTATCGTCATATCTATGAGGCTAACGTTCTTCATCGACCAGTGTGTTTACATTCACTCTCAGTTACTGTTTTAAGGATAATGCCTTCATTAGCTATATTCAATAGTTTTGTGGAGTGTGATTGTAAGAATGCCTAGGAAATGCTGCATTCCTTTACGTGGGTCCAATTGTAAATCTACAAGTGAATATGTGACTGTATTTTGAAGTCAAATACATATCCATCTGTGTTTCCTGAATCGCCAGCCTACTTAACAATTGAAGAACGCAAGCTCGCAAAATGCCTGAAAAACAGGCATCAGAAATAGGAGCAGCTGTGAAAACAAAACAAATATACAGGATTTTCAAACTCTGCAGTGTCAGATTTTAGAAAAGTTAAAAGACTTGTTAGAAAGGAACCGGAAAATGTATACTGTCACAGAGGGTACATCATATTGTCTTGTATTGTACCCAATAAGTGTGAAAGTAGACATTGCACCATCAATATCAGTAAGTGTACAAGTCTTACCAGAAATGTGTGAAGTCGTTTATCCGCAAAATAAACAGATTGCTTGTAACGATCTTACTTAAATTAAATTGGAAAGAAGGTCGCAACTTGAAAATCTACTGATACGTTGCAAGGAAACTGAACCTGCAACATCTCCGAAGAGTGTCAGTGATTTTTTAGAAGAAGCGTGCATTAATTTTGATATTGCCAGAGAATTGCTGTTATCATCTAATGACACTAATGTATAGACACCTGAAAGTCAATTAATGTTTAACGCAGAGTAGCTAACACTGATTAATAAGAGCAAAAATGCTAGGCGCTACAGCAGTTGTACATTGTGTTTTTCTTGTATGGTTTTACATTTTTCGCAGCTATTGCGGACATCTACTTTGTTAACCGCAAAGTTTACAAAAATCTTCTTAAGTCCAACACTACATGCGTAGAAAATCCAGGCATTCCAGGCAACAACCAAAAAAAATCTTTTTGCTGTGTGACACTGTTCACCTGCTGATATGTATTTGGAGAAATGGGATAAATCATAAAGATGCAGAGCAAACATTTTCATATCCATCTGCTGCTGGGCTAATGTTGAACGTAGCATCTACCTCAGAATGTCCCTCTGCCAGTCCACTAACTTGCTATAATTGTGACTGTGCATACTTATAAGTGATGCACCTCTATGTGTGATTAATTTTATATATACTATATTAACATGTTTTTCACCACCCTTTGGGTAAGTATGAAAACAAAAATATTCATAATTAACTAACCTCTCAGAGAAAGTCACTTGCCTCTTTACTAATTATTATCTAACAGTATAATTATATGTTGTAACAGTCCACTAATATTAATCCTCATCTATTTGAATTCAATTTTGTGCATATTCTTCTTCTTGAGTCACCGGCTGCAATCTCAGGCAGAAAGTTCCACTTGTCGAGACACTAGTTGTTGTGTGCACATATATTATACAAATTTGACTTCTTTGTATGCAGACTGCTGGTTCCTTGCCTCGCAGGCAAACATATTCCGACTTCGAAGGAAGTTACAGTGAGTCGATTCTTAAGACATGCTCA